GTGATTTGGAATACAGGCCTTCAATCTGCGCGGCCAGTCGTCTATCGCAGCACGAACGAGGTCCATGTCAATATCGGCGGCTGCCTTAACCAAGGATGTCTTGAGTGACTCCAACTTGAGATGAGGCTTTGAGCACGCCTTTTCCTCCAAGTGTTGCCATATCTTGTAATCTAACGGAGTCAAATCTGACACTGGAGGAGGGCCAGTCTTCGTACCGGATGAAGTCGATTTCACGCGCCGCCAGCCAGTATTGTGTGCTCTTCGCTCTATGAGCTGACGCCGAATCTTGTTGGCATACCCAGTGCCTGTTATTGAACATGGTATGAGAAACAAGTTCCACAAGGTTCGTCCGGACTATATTTTGATACACAACTGCATTCGTTTTGACACCTTTCTTACAAAAATGTGCCCGAATAAGAAACTCCCAACCATACCATGAGCGAGGATGGAAAATGACCTCGTTGGACACGCGGAATTCGGGTGCTCGCTTCTTCACGACTGTGTGCGTACACCTTATCATTTTGTTTGTTGTAGCTCTCTTCTACGGTAAAAACTTTTTTCATCCGAAAAAAGAATAACCCGATATTTTTTTCCCGCGTACCGCTTCAACAAAGCGCGGCATCTCTTCAGTCTCAGGTCCATTAGACGAGCATTCAAACGATGTCCTGTTTTTCTTCGATATGCCCGAAGCCCTAAGCCTTCATTTAACACCCTTTTCACCGTGGTTCTGAAGGGCCAACAGTTTCTGCTTACGTTTGGGATTTCTTTGAATTCGCGCCTTCACAACTTTTATCACTGCTAGAGTCCAACAGACCGAGGGCGACCACTTCTTGACCTGTCATCTACACTAGAGTCTTCATTGTATCGTTTGAAAGTACGATAAACGAATCTTTTGGTTATATTCAAATTTTTCAGTATGTCAAAAATTTGAATTGGCGCGTAACCGCAACGATGCTACGCAATAACTGCAACACGGTCTTCTTTAAGCTACCACTCCATATTTAAAAATGAGTAAAATTCTAAAAAGTATACATTTTTATTTTCATGAACAATTCGAAATTCGAATTCAATAAACTTTTTTGTTGCCAGCATTCTAAAAGAATAGTTTTTACTGTGTGACAATACTTATGACCTGACTGTGTATAATAACGTCCGACAAATGTATCTACCCCGCCTGACCTGCTGTTAAGTGACGGTGGAGTCTAGATACAAAGATAGCTGGTACAGCAGTTCTACCTACCACACCAGCCATCCTCACCATGCCGGCCTGCACATTGCGTCTTCACGCCTCTTTTGATCAACAAAGAATGATGATGCGACAAATGAATGAGTTACCAAGGTTCTAAAGAAAAGTTTACTAGAAAATATTCCACCGGACCAGGCAGCAGACGGGACTCGAACCCGCACCCTTCGCTATCCGGGCGAATGCACTGACCTTTATGCTGAAAGTCGAATTTTTCTTAGCCTTAGACTGCAAATCAGCGCCATCTCTTCGTATTATATATAAGTAACCCACAATGTCAAATGAATACTTTTACAACAAGTATTAAACATTTAAAGGAGGAATAGCAATTATAGTTAAAGTTATAAGTTTCTTTATATTGATTATGTTACAGACAAGCATTTTTGTCTGCAATATAATCAGACACTTTGTAATAAGCTTTTTTAATAAGAGCTTATTATAAACTATCTTTGAATTTATTTATGGTTAACTCTTGTTTGTTGTTTATTGTATTAAGTGTGTGAACATCACTGTTTTTAAGAAACAAATTTATATTTTTTGTTACAAGTAATAAAGTTTCGTATATGTATTGTGATCCAACCGTCATTATGCCACATTCTTAGGATTCTTTAACTTTAAGATTATAAATTGATCGAATAGCTCTCTTCTGCAGCACAAAAATAGGTTGAATGTCGGCGGCGTTTCCTCACAATAAAATTCCGTACATCATTACATTACGGAAATAACTAAAGTACACTAATCTGGCCGTATCTTCATCCGTTAATTGACATATCTTCATTACGGCATATGCTGCAGAGCTAAGTCTATTTGACAATATACTACTTCGTCTCCCTTGTATCCTAAGCACGAACAACTAGCGAGATAGTATTCGAATTACCATCGTTAAAGTTTCTAGAGAAGGAACTAGTTTGTTCTTACGTGCGCTAGTTCTGCTAAGTTTCCACAGAAACTTTGACTATGGATTTGCCTCTCACCGACCCGGAGACGGCCGGGGAAGCAAAAATGTATAAAAACGTATGGCTCGTTTTTTCACTTACCGGTGCCGACGTTGATTCCCGCCAATACTGTCGAAAACGCCGGGATAGCAAGTTTCCCACTCTGCCGGCTGGGAAAAGTGCATGTATATTGTATATGTATTGTAGCCGTGTGCGTGTGCGAATGCGCGGAGCGGGTACGAGAACCCGGAGACTCGTATTTGCTTTGGGGTTCGCTTTGAATGCGGCGTCATGGCATTTAAATACGACATTGTTACTCTTATCGTAGAGTGGAAGCTGGTGGAGGCCCAACCTTGTCAAATAGGGTATAATTTATGTTCCTTCTAATTGTCGGAAGATCTCCAAAATTTGACATCTCTACGTTGATCTTAGTTATAAAAGATATAACAAATACAGTTTACGGCTTGAGGAGATCATTATAATCTATACGCTTGTCCGTGTTGCCGTGCTGAAGTTAGTGTCAATAAGCAGGGCGTAAATTGGCACCGGAGCTTTGGAAAAACGAAACACCGGCCCCGGCACCGGGCTGGTGAGTGGAACATCGCCCTATGACAATATGAATAAGGATCTGTCAAATTTCGTGCTTAGGGTACTGTACCTTAATCACGAACAACTAGCGAGACAGTATTCGTATCGCCATCGTTAAATTTTCTATGGAAGAAGCTAGTTTGTCCATACGTCCGGCCCTGGTTAGTTTTCATAAAAACATTGGCAATGACGATACGAATCCGGACCTGTAAAATTTCGAGCTTAGGGTACTGAAGTTCAGTGAAGGCTTAAGATGTACGTATACTTAAAACAAGTCCGAGAACATAAGTTATAGTGTAGGCACTTTGAAGCACAAAAGAGAGCAGTACCCTTAGCACGAACCAATATCTAATTCGTATCGATTGCTAGTCCGAAACTTCATTGCCAAATGTGTACTGATTTTTAGTTCTCGTTACGTACTTTGTGGCGCTATTGTTCCTGCATAAAGTACGTAACGAAAACTAAAAATAATATTAAATAAATATAAGTATGTTTTATCTACAAAACCGCGTTGAAATTTTTAATCTTAAGTTCTAGCCTACTTCTTGTAGATTGCTTGCTATACGCAATCTCACGTCTCATTTCAAAGTTTGAATTGCTAACTGTTTGAATTGTTATGACACATGTATTGAAGTAATACACAAGCCAACGCTCACACGGCAAAGTTTACACTTCTCTCGCAATCCATGTGGAAATGGACTCCTTGACAAATTTCTCACTGCCTTGTAATTACGATTAAATTACGTTCACCCAATTAAAGCTTTTATGATCTTCGCTCAACGTATAAATTTCCCTATATTGGTAACTAGATGTGCCTGCGACTTTGTTGTCGTTGATGTTGGAATATATCAAAGTGGCGTAAGTAGGTAGGTGACATGATTTTTATGGGTGTAGTGACGAGCTCTGCTTCCTTTACGCTCTACTCTTTTTAAACGATAATAGGTGTGAAATCGTATGGAATATTAAATAAAGATTACTGGAGCTATTCACACGTAAAAGAGCTTCATACTTTTTTAGCAATGAATAAAGTAACAGATACCTATTTGAGGTCCATTACCGCAAAGAAAAAAGTCTTATCATAAGATGAGAGGAAAGGCGGGCGCCAGCCTAAAGATCTATATCTTTAGGCTGGCGCGCCCGCCTTTACCCTTATGATCATAAATGCGCGCGTTGTACTCAATCCTTATTTTGTTACGGAGTTATTTTAAAACTATGATATCTCCTAAGACATTCATTGAAATCAAATAACGTCAAGGGCAATTATGTATTTGTAAAATTAAATATTTGTGATAAATATTACGTCTTTATTTTGAAATGAAATGAAATGAAATTTATTTATTCACACAAAACAGAGTAGATACATTTTGGTGGTGATTTTCATTTAGTTCGTCCATTTTGCCAACGACAGGGCATGCTTTTAAATTTTAAATTATAAGGATAAGTCTTAACAAATATATAACATTCCAAAATATAATAAATAGAGGGAGGTGTAAGTAATTTTAATTTGGGAAATAATTGCCTGCATGATGTCATTTGCGGGACATCGCATATAGCTCGGATGCATTGTTTTTGGGATATAAAATCTCTGCTACTGTCCGTAGAATTTCCCCACAAAAGTATACCGTATTTAAGATTGGATGCAACATATCCGTGATAAGCCATTAGAGCTGCGTTTTGGTTTACAAGTCGATTTAACCGCCACAATGCATACGCAAACCTATTTATCTTATTACAGATTGATTGATTGATAAAGAATAATATCAAGTTCATAAAAACATCTTCACAAATAATGTATTATTTCCGAACAATATGATTGCCATGAAAAAGGTTATAGTGGGTCAACCTTAAAAGATAGACATAGACTTATTTTTCAAAACTTTTAAAAGGAACAATATCGTCATAAAGCTATGATTTTTGCGTTACTTCGTTTACGCAGCGCACGTAACGGAAGCTCTGTAAAGGAATATTTTTTCCCCTTTTCATTGGTGCTGTACTCCTATTAGTAGTAGCGTTATATGATTAGCCTATACTTAGTTAAGGACTTCCAACACAATGTAATATTGTAAAGGAAAAAATAAATAAAAAAACGCCTTCCTCGATAAATGCGCTATCCATCCATACATGGACAAACGGCCTTAAAGTGCTGACTATGGCGTTAGGCTAATTGGTGTGAGTGTAACAAGTGGATACATCTAGAGATACCTTTGTTACAGACATTCTGCGTGGTGTCGAAGCGGTTTCGCAAGAACTACATCCACCGGTTCACGGCAACGAGATCGCTGTTCTGGTGGTCGCCGTGGTCACCGGTGCGGCGCGCGTGCGTCTACCTCTCCACCAACCAGTACTTCGATTACTTCGTCATGGCAACCATCCTGCTCAACTGTGTCTTCCTCGCCATGTCGGAGACGATCGAAGAGGCTGAGTGAGTACTGAACTATATTGGTTTTATTAGACGGCTTTCCTATTGGTATTAAAATTCAACGGGTGGAATCTGAAGGCTCAAATTAGCTCAAATTTTACAATACAATACAAAACACTTCATTGGAAACTATAGGATGCAAAACGTACAAAGCCATCTAACCAAGTGTAGTGTAAGAACCAACCATTACTTCGACTTCTTCTTCATAGCAACCATCCTGCTCAACCGTGTCTTCCTCGCCATGTCGGTGACGATCGAAGAGGCTGAGTGAGTACTGAACTATATTGGTTTTATTAGACGGCTTTCCTATTGGTATTAAAATTCAACGGGTGGAATCTGAAGGCTCAATTGAGCTCAAATTTTACAATACAATACAAAACACTTCATTGTAAACTATAGGATGCAAAACGTACAAAGCCATCTAACCAAGTGTAGTGTAAGAACCAACCATTACTTCGACTTCTTCTTCATAGCAACCATCCTGCTCAACCGTGTCTTCCTCGCCATGTCGGAGACGATCGAAGAGGCTGAGGGAGTACTGAACCATATTGGTTTTATTAGACGGCTTTCGTATTGGTCTTGAAATTCAACGCGTGGAATCCGAAGGATTCAGTGTGTTCAAATTGCACAATACAATACAAAACACTTTATTGTAAACTATAGGAAGCATAAAATTCAAAATCATATAATCTAGTGTAGTGTAAGAACCAACCAGTACTTCGACTACTTCGTCATGGCAACCATCCTGCTCCACTGTGTCTTCCTCGCCATGTCGGAGACGATCGAAGACGCTGAATGGGTACTGAACTTTATTGGTTTTTTCGACGGCTTTATGATTGGTTCCGGGACGGGATTGATTACTATTGGTTGAGGATCCACCTCATTGAGGGGGGCAATGATGATTGGTCCAGGAGCAATCTCGGGCTTGTCGACCACAATGACGTGAGTGGGTACGATTGGTACCTCATTCTCCACCACGACCTCAGGTTTGACTACGATTTCTTCGGAGAAGGTGGAACAACGGCGGCTTCAGAGGCCTGGTTGATGTTCAGGATGATCTGAACGAGGGGAGTGGCACTCGAGGGACTAGCGAGTTGCTCAGGCACAACGACGGGAGTGGGCACGATGGAAGCGACAAGGGCTGTTCAGCATTTCCTACATCTATAACTACAAAAACATATTATAATTTCACGCCTGATTCCCGGAGAGATGAACACAGATAATGATAATTTGGTACGAAAGTAACATATATTTTTGTTTCCTCGAATATATCGAAGGTTCCAGCATGTTTCTGAATTGGAACTAAAACGATATCCGTCTTCCACCCCTGACATACTATTCCGTCACTTTTACTCTAAAAGACCTTCAGTTCTTTCATAGACCTACTCATTATTCACTTAACATAAATAAATCAAGGGTTTTCACTTATTCTTTTTGTGTTTTAGGATGTCATTAGTGTTTATCTATTCCAATCAATAACGACCGTTTCGAATCTTCAATAAAACAAAACAAATGTGCAATAAAAAATAAATTTATTAACAAAAAAAAAAGTTCATCGCGTCCAATATCATTCTTTGGTTTAGTTGATGATGCCGGGCAGGTTCACAGCCGGGGATGGGACAATAGGAGCGACTACTACTGGCTCAGGGACAACGGGAGCGACTACTACTGGCTCAGGGACAACGGGAGCAACTACTACTGGCTCAGGGACAACGGGAGCAACTACTACTGGCTCAGGGACAACCACCTCAGGAGTGGGGGCAATGATGACTGGTTCGGGAACGGGAAGTGGGGCAACGATGATTGGTTCCGGGACGGGATTGATTACTATTGGTTCAGGAGCCACCTCAGGGAGGGGGGCAATGATGATTGGTTCAGGAGCAATCTCGGGCTTGTCGACCACAATGACGGGAGTGGGTACGATTGGCTCCTCATTCTCCACCACGATCACAGGTTTGACTACGATTGGTTCGGGGACTATGACCGGGGAAGGTGGAACAACGGCGGCTTCAGAGGCCTGGTTGATGTTCAGGATGATCTGAACAAGGGGAGTGTTACTCGCGGGACTAGCGGGTTGCTCAGGCACAACGACGGGAGTGGGCACGATGGGGGCGACAGGGGCTGTTCCTTCGTCAACGATGACAGGCGTGGGGAGTATAGCGACGGGTCCATCGTCGACGATGACTGGCGTGGGGAGGATAGCGACGGGTCCATCGTCGATAATGACCGGCGTGGGCTTGATGGGTGCAGGTGGTACGATAGCGGGACCGGCAGCGACTCCCATCAGGTCCTCAAGCATCTGCTCGAGTGCAGCGGCGGTGGCGGGGTGCGTGCTGGGGCTCTGGATGGCGGCTATTATGTCCTCCAGCTGAACCTGATTACGCACGGCAGCCGATGAGGCCACGGCGATAATAGCGGTTAATGTCAATAGGAATTTCATTGTGCCCCTGAAATAAAAACACAATGAATTAAATATCAAACAAAATTTACGCCTTAATGAAACTAGGTGCTTTTTCTCACCCAAACTAAGTGGCTGAAGTATTTTTACTATGGGAACTAACACGAACAATGAAGCTAAAATGAAGTTAGTTATACATAAACGAGACCTAGGATTGAATCCAGACCTCAGACAAGGGAGAAAACCGGTGGTCAACTTACTCGATCCCAGAGATAGTCAGAAACAATAAAATAAGAACTTACTTTTTTGTCACTTCGTAAGAGACTATGTTTATATTGCTCCATCGAAGGTATTTATATGATTTCTTATCAAAGCATGAAAATATTATCAACGTATTTTACCAATAATAAAAATATTTATAAGATAGCAAGACAAGCTAAAAATCGTTTTTAATTAAAAAAGGTCGTAAAGGTTTTATAACGTTCTTTATTTTACTTTTAAACAAATTGTTTGAATCTAATTCTAATGTGATAACCAAAAAAAGGTTAAATATCAAAATTATCCAATAGTAGATTATTTACTAAGGGAGAAAAGAACTATTTTTAAGGCGAGAGCGTTTTTTTATTGAAGTAGAATCCTGAAGGCCGCGAAGGATTCGTGCGTCGCTCGAGCTTTAAAATAAAATAAAGTGTTGCTCCCGAGGTGGACACTACTTTTTATCGCCCTCTATGAGAAGAGAGAGAAATTATTTTCATAATAATGCTTTTATATATTATTCGCGGGCTTTGTAGGTAAAAGATTTTGTATCAAATTGTTAGCATACTTTTTCTATTCTCACTACTAGGTGAAGACAATCATTTTTTATAAATCCAAATATTCCGAATTTGAGTTGACAATTTTTACGAAGGTATTTCGCGCGTTTGTATTTTATCATAAACTTTTTTTTAAGAATTAGTGGAATCTTTAAAATACACGCTATAAGCAGTAGGCTTATCAAGAAATCGGAATCGATACATTTCGTGCCAAACACCGCAAGATACATTAAAATGCATGAAACCCACTTTCAATTTAAAAAAAAGGAGACCTGCATGATTTGCCTTTGCCTTTCCCAAGAAGGGAAAATATAATTAAAAAGAGGTCCCTTTGGTGATTACTAACAATATCCACATTCCTAATTCATATAATCATCTAAGGCATTGGGAGAAACGATTATAAGCTATGGGATAAGTAGCTATGGAAGAACTGTAAAATCACATTTGGACCTTATATACAATATACAAGTTAGAATTTTAAAAGCCATAGTTCCTAATAAAATTAAAATTAAATTCAAAAACAATATAAATGAACTCTTCTACCACTGTAACGTTTTGCCTGTATACGATCAAGTCAAATCTAATCTGATCTCAGAAAACTATTTTAATGAAAACTTTCGTATTATAAAGCAGCACAGTAAGCAAACCCGTAGTGCATCAGCCATTACATTCAATATCCCAAGATACAATAATCATTATGGTAGGCAATTATTACAGTTTCAGATACCCAAGTTAATTAACGAATTACCAATATATGTAAAAAAAGAAATTAGTGAAATTAATATTAAGAACGTACTAAAAGGATATTATTGCTCACAGTTATTAAATCAAGAATAACATATTTAATATAGTAAAATAAAATGTTTTTCAACACCATAATACAGTAACAGTATTTAGTAAAATCTGATGGGGAACCCGCCCGTGTGAATAAACTCATTGCTTTGTTCGGGGTGACCGCCGACAACTCGTAGAAAGAGGGTAGATGCAGATGCAAAAAAAAAAGATCTAAAAGATGACGAATCCCAGTGCTCGGTAAAACCTACACAGGTTTTTGTAGCACTGGCTAAATGTATTGTTATTATTTATAGTAATGTGAAATTCAATAATAAATAAATAAATAAATAAAATAAATATCACTTTTAGTCCCTAGGGATTAAAACGCTGTTTAGGTCCCTGTTAACAGAGAACAAACTAACTCTTTTCGAATTGATGTGATAAAAACAATTTATACTCACAAACATAAGTTCAAATTGATAAGGGACTTCCGTAAGGACGTTACTTTATTAATACGTTAAACCTATAAAGAGTTAGGAAACTTTACTTTCGGCAGCAAACCAATTTACCCAATACAAAAAAATGTTATTTGCTTCCAGACTTTGATATGATTGAGGTTACTTTCCAGACTATACAACCAAACCAAATTTAAGAGAGGAAGGGCGTAGTGCATTTTTCGCTCGAATTGGGGCACCCGTCTGGTGAAGTAAGCTCACAGAAGATCACAATAAAATAACACTACCTTTTGGTGGTAAGTTTCCCCCCCCCCCCGTAGCCCCCCCCCCCCCACGCTGTGGAGCCCTGGAAACTTACCACCAAAAGGTAGTGTTATTTTATTTGGGTCAAGATAGGTAACGGTGCGAGTGATATTTTTGGTATCGCAATCGCCTATAGGCTATTGTGGTCGCTTACCGTCAGGCAGACCATACGTTTGTTTGCCACCCTTATAACAAAAAAAAAACAGAAAACCCGATGCCGATGACAGAAGTAGTCTTTCCTTCACATTTATGGGTATTTGAACGCAATCGTTTTTTAATCTCATTTATTTTATATCACACAAGAATATTTACATAAAATATTATTTAACTTTCGATTACTACCAATAGTTTAAGAAAATATGCACGTTTGAATATTTATATGCTTGGTACTTCAACACACAAAGTCGCTGAACTGATTTGGATGAAAGGAGATGTTTAATTTTGTATGGAGAACATGCCAACACGTGTACACGGTATTAAAAAATAGCTTAATTAAACCCTGACACTATATTTTTTTCGAAACAAATGTAAAATGTTTAAGTAGGAAGTGACTGAAATATTCTAATTATAGCCATACTTTTCATGGTGGCGGCCGCATGTCAATTGATTGACATTGACACTCCGATTGTGTCACTGTCAATAGGTGAAGTGGTATCAGTAACAGGTAATCAGTGCAGCGTCTAAATAAAACTTCGGCACAAAAACAAACACAACAACTCGGAACCCACGTTCAAAGCGAAATAAATAGTAATAAAACTCAAATATTAACTGTCAAACTGACAGTTAAAATCTGTCAAACTGACAATTATAATTTTTATTGCTCCTAGAGCTGCCAGGATCATTATTTTTTTTCCTATAATATAACTAAAAGCTGTATTAAATATTAATAAATATTTATGAAATTACCTAATTTAATACTATTTTTTCGATATCCGTACAGGATCTTGGCATTTTTGTAATATCTCCTTTGACACAAATGTAGTTCATTACGTAGATTGAGGCATAGGATACTTTTATCTCGGAGAATTGCCAAATGCCTGTAAGATTTAAAAAACTAAAATTGACACCATAGAGCAACACGGAAGGGAGAAGCAATAGCAACATTTATACTATTCAAATCATTCTGCCATTGTCTGCGGGGCGAAATATGCACACAAATGCAGTTTAATGTACATGCATAAAAACAAAACTGTAATAACGACACTCACTACCACCCATAAACAATAACACAATACACCGCAAAATCCTGCACACATTTATCGTTCCTATGCCCAATTTTTATACCCAACTCGACAGAGGGGAATGCTGTGTATACCTACCTACTCCCCTGCTAGCTGCGTCGTGTTGCTTTAAAGTTAACACGGACGAAGTCGCAAGCGCGAACTTTTTTAAATTTATTTTTAGCAGCTATAAGGTTTTCTATCAAATTGAAATGTTATCTGCCCGCCTAGCATGATCACCGCGATATGATAAATAGCTCGTTTTTACCACGCTTAATTGTCAAAGTACTATAGAGTCTGACAGTTAGGTGTGATAAAAAACGTGATATAATTTAAATTGTGGTGCTCATGCTACGGGTAGTGGGGTCATTGACATAATTAATTTAAATAAATATTCGGTTAATCTCTTTTTCTTTAAAAAAAACGACGGGTTGCACTCCGGGAGTGCCGGCAGAAGTGAAAACTTGAATATTAACGTTGTGCATTTATGATATTTTATAATGGTTAGCGAATCTGTAACACTTTATATACACGAATATCTGTAACACTTTATATACACGAATTTTACGAATACACAGCAGTGTGGCCACTACACGTCGTATACACACAAACATTCGCGCAAGCGCCCTGCGCCGCCTAAACGAAACAGCAGGCGCAGGCATACATTTTCGCCGCACCGTAGAAAGAGAGGGGCATACTGCCTCTCCTACGCCGCGCCGGCTGTCTACTCCCTATCCGTCTTACGGATTTTCGATCAGGTCACGTGTCCTGACGCGAGTTTAACATTTTTTACCCATTACCAAAAAGTGTAGAACGCCGCTAAACAGTTTTCACTTCAAAAATATTTCATTTAGTTACAACTACAGATATGAGAGAGAGAGAGAGAGAGAGAGAGAGAGAGAGAGAATCATTTTTATTGACCACATTATAAATTTACAAAACAACATACAAAAAAAATAAGAAAATATACATAATGGAGAAAAGAAGAAAAAAAATAAAGTACTATTTGTGGTCAATCAGGACCCTGCCTCAGCGTAATGCTGCCGCAACACGCTATAAAACGTGTCACAGCAGCGCTGGTATTCTGGCAGGGCCTGTTATGCCAGAACCTCATATGGCCAATCGCATCCGCCTCGATAGCAGTTCCTTCCTCTCACTGCCCGTTATGGATACATATCTATCAAATAGCAAACACGATTAGCCACATGAGTCATGAGCCACATGAGATATGTCATTTTAAGTCCGTTAGTTAATGAAGCTTGAGGTTATAATCGATATATGCCAAAAAGCTAGTGACTTATAGAGTTTGCGCCTTACAAAATTGACAAACTCGTACTCACTTCAATACATAATCGATTTTAGTCAAGTCTATTATTATTTTATGGAGATTTGCGGACAACGTCCTTATAAAACTACAGTCACTGTGACCTGATCTATTGTGACTCGCTACCAAATTAAAGTTGCCCGATAGTTTCCATGAAGTGCAAAATATATTCAGCTTTCATTGATTTGATTTGAAATTTTGGTGGCTTCGTCGGTAGCTGAGCACCCACTTTCACCTAAAAAACGTTTTTTTTGTTTCACGCTCCTGCTTGCAGATGTCTACTGCATGCATCAGTATCTGTAACATAACGTCATATGACCTTATCTTACAGAAACGGAGAGTACAGATAGTAAAACTCATCAGGCCAAAGTATTATACAAGCCTTAACTAAATACTGCAAACTTGATAGACTACGATTTTGTATGAAATTTAGTGATACTGATGCTTGCAGTATTCATATCCTATATTAATTATTTACTCTTCATTTGTTACTTTCGTATGTTTCGTAACTGTGGTGGCCATGAGATGCTAAGGATGTTGAATTTTCAATATGCCGTGCTTTCTATCTACACCTGTGCACAATTGCTCATGCATTATCCTCTGCTGCCAAGTTGCAAACCTAGTAAATTATGTTATACTATAGCAAGGTACTTATTTTTGTATATCATATACCGCTTTGCCTCTTCGAGTCTATGTTTAGAAAAAGTGAGGTGATCTTCCTTTAATGGCTGATAATGAAACAAAAGTGTCTTGAAATTTTATTATAATTTATTTCTGAATGTCACATATTAAATACGGAGATACCTTATAGTATATTTGACCACATTCACTTCTCTTCATTAAAAAACATTGACTAAGGTTAAAGCCAAAAAATAATTGTGTCATCTCTGTTTCTCTGTAAACAGTAGACAGACAGCATTATGTTGAAACCAAGTCTAACTTTAGTCCACGTTTTGTTTTTTTATAGTGAGCTACTTTGAGAAAAATAACTTGAAGCCTCCATTAGTGTGTATATTTCCATTAAGATTAACTTTGAATTTATTAAGAACTTATTAGAAACCGTGACCAACCCCAACCGACTGTAAAATGGTCAGATAAGTATGAGAGAGACGAAGCAAACATGAAAAAGGTATTTCCTACATCTATAACTACAAATCATATTATAATTTCACGTCTGAATTCCGGAGATATGAACACAAATAATGATAATTTGGTACGAAATAAACATATATTTTTGTTTCCTCGAATATATCGAAGGTTCTTCTCAGCATGTTACTGAATTGGAACTAAAACGATATCCGCCTTCCACCACCTGACATAATATTCCGTCACTTTTACTCTAAAAGACATTCAGTTCTTTCATAGACCTACTCATTATTCACTTAACACAAATAAAACAAGGGTTTTCACTTATTCTTTTTATATTTAAGGGTGTCTTTAGTGTTTATCTATTCCAATCAATAACGACCGTTTCGAATCTTCAATAAAACAAAACAAACGTACAATAAAAAATAAATTTATTAACAAAATAAATTTACATCGCACCCAATATCATTCTTTGGTTTAGTTGATGATTTCAGGCAGGTTCACAGCCGGGGATGGAACAATAGGAGCGACTACTACTGGCTCAGGGACAACAGGAGCGACTACTATTGGCTCAGGGACAACGGGAGCGACTACTACTGGCTCAGGGACAACAGGAGCGACTACTATTGGCTCAGGGACAACGGGAGCAACTACTACTGGCTCAGGGACGACCACCTCAGGAGTGGGGGCAATGATGACTGGTTCGGGAACGGGAAGGGGGGCAACGATGATTGGTTCCGGGACGGGATTGATTACTATTGGTTCAGGAGCCACCTCAGGGAGGGGGGCAATGATGATTGGTTCAGGAGCAATCTCGGGCTTGTCGACCACAATGACGGGAGTGGGTACGATTGGCTCCTCATTCTCCACCACGATCACAGGTTTGACTACGATTGGTTCGGGGACTATGACCGGGGAAGGTGGAACAACGGCGGCTTCAGAGGCCTGGTTGATGTTCAGGATGATCTGAACAAGAGGAGTGTTACTCGCGGGACTAGCGGGTTGCTCAGGCACAACGACGGGAGTGGGCACGATGGGGGCGACAGGGGCTGTTCCTTCGTCAACGATGACAGGCGTGGGGAGTATAGCGACGGATCCATCGTCGACGATGACCGGCGTAGGGAGGATAGCGACGGGTCCATCGTCGATAATGACCGGCGTGGGCTTGATGGGGGCAGGTGGTACGATAGCGGGACCGGCAGCGACTCCCATCAGGTCCTCGAGCATCTGCTCGAGTGCAGCGGCGGTGGCGGGGTGGGTGCTGGGGCTCTGGATGGCGGCTATTATGTCCTCCAGCTGAACCTGATTACGCACGGCAGCCGATGAGGCCACGGCGATGATAGCGGTTAATGCCAATAGGAATTTCATTTTGCCTCTGAAATAAATTATATAATTAATAAAGTTATGAGACAATAATAATCCCAGAATGATCGTTGCACCAAAATAGTATTAACTTACTTTTTGTCGCCTTTTTGAAGACTTTGTTTGTCTTATTCATTCAGTTGTATTTATATAAATTCTTATCAAGCCCCAAGGTATTATCACCGATATCAACGGTATCAAGAAAGTGAATAGATTAATGGTTTAGTACCACAAAGCTCTGATTACTTAATTTTTTTATGTTTGACTTTATTATTAATAAAATGACCCACTCAAGCACTGAGTCGTTACAGCAAATACTATAAGACACCACAGCTTGACTGCTGATTCAGATATCATGCTTTCACTTCGTTCACTAGAAATTATAAAGTGGAATTGCCAGTCAGAGGAACGTGATTGAACGACTATGAATCCAACAAATTCAAAAGCCTAGTTTGATTTGCAAACGGCTCTAAAATGGGTCAAAACGTGTATATAATACGGAGGAGAAACAAGAATTAACAAAAGCTTGAATCTAGGATACATCCAGCTTTATTTTTAGCCAAGGGTATACGCCGTCATAGCATGTCCGTAAGATAATCGCCAACAAAGCTGTTCAGATAATAAAGGAGTGCTTAATGCAATCATTTGTAAAAGGATAAAGGAATTGACAAACTGAATAACTTTTTTTGTTTGAAAGATTTGACTTGTAAAATGGGAGGATAGTAATGAGGAAGCTAGTGAATAAGCAAAATCAGGGAAACACTGTATAGTCTATGGACCTCTAAAACAGGTCATATATCTAATTAATAATAAAATAAATGAAACGAATAAAATAAATTGTCACATGTATGGCGAGAATAGCTTTTAAAATGATTCAGTTGATTAACGTATTTCATGTTTTTGTATTTGTAGTTATTATGTACCCGGAAGCGGAAAGTGCGGGTTCAAGTCCTGTGTGCTGCCTGGACCGCGTCGAATTTATTCTATTTTTTTTTTCTTTTGATTAATAAACCCAGCAGTTATATGCTTAAAATAAATATAATCAAATCCAATGTCATGCCTAAGTCCATTCGTCCAATACAACAGTTTCAAAATATGCAATCCCGTATATTTTACAGGCTTTTTAGTAATAACTAGAGACTGGATTATATGCATTTGCATATTTGCATATGCATTTGCTTATTTAAGCCATTCTAAGCGGTAATAGTATATTTTACCTAAGATCTTCTTATGATGCATATTATCGGTACATCTATCTATATATATAAAACTCAAAGGTGACTGACTGACTGACATAGTGATCTATCAACGCACAGCCCAAACCACTGCACGAACGGATCGGGCTGACATTTGGCATGCAGGTAGATGTTATGACGTAGGCATCCGCTAAGAAAGGATTTTGATCAATTCTACCCCCCCAGAGCGGATAAAATAGGGAATGAAAGTTTGTATGAAACTTTGTCAATTTTAAACCGATCGGGCTGAGACTTCAGATTTAAACATCAAGTTACATGTTTTTAAAAATAAAAATTATAACTATAATTGCTATTTCTTCTTTGAAATGTTTAATACTTGTAAAAGTATTCATTTGACATTATGGGTTACCTATAATGCGAAGAGATGGCGCTGCCTTGCAGCTTAAGAATGGCTAGAGGAATTTCGACGCGGTCTGTGAGGGCCGCGGTAGCATAATTGGTCAGTGCATTCGCCCGGATTGCGAAGGGTGCGGGTTCAAGTCCCGTCTGCTGCCTGGTTCGCGTAGAATTTTTTCTAGTTATATTTTCTTTAGATGTATTAATGATTCCTAATATTTTTCATTTAATTTCGCATATTCTGCCAATTTTTGTGCATACTTCAAGCATTTTTCATGCATATTTGCATGAATATAACAAGCTTTTTATGTTGCATACAATCCGGTCTCTAGTAATAACATTCGAATAAGAAACATAATGTTTCGGGTAAATTAGATAGCAAACATATTAACCTAACACAAATTATCAATTTAAATAAAAAGAAACAGTGTTCTAATCTCAAGCGCAATAAACATAAATATTTGAACTAAACGCTTAAAGAGAATCATAAAAGATTTACAATAGCTAAGATAAAACGTTAATACACGGCTTAAAACAGATAATTTTAATTGTAACAGTAAGTAGGTATTGATAAGTTTTGACTTCCCTGTTACTTGTAGATATTGAGTTCGATATTGATAAATTAATTTTCCCGGTGACTAAAGCAGATTGCCAAATTTTCTTTGTTTAGAAAGATCGCTATACATTTTGCGTTCTCGATCTCGGTTAATTAATATTGTTAACTAAATATAAAATAAATTTCTTTAAACTTGCTTAGTATTAGTAAAATAGTACTTGTATGTAAGTAAACTTATAATAATATAAGGTGCAATACCTACCAAACTGGCTAGCTGTACTTACCTACTACTATATAAAAGCTAAAAATATAAACAATATACTTACAAACAAATAATAATTACGTATTATCTACGTGTCTCGCTCTCTCACGCGATACCTACAGGAGGGGATGCTCTTCGCTATATAAATGAGACCGAATCTATATAAATAGAAGACCCACACCGTGCATCTGTTTCATTTCGTTCGTAGTGTTCGTTCACATCGTACGTAACGTGAAAGTCGATCATTATGGCACCTCGCAAACAGTTGGTCACCAAGACGGCGCGCAAGAGTGCACCCGCCACTGGCGGTGTGACGAAACCCCTTCGCTTCAGGCCCAGCACTGTGGCTCTACGTGAGATCCGTCGCTACCAAAAGAAGCTGTTGATCCGCAAGTTGCCGTTCCAACGTCTGGTCCGCAAGATCGCTAAAGATTTCAAGACCGACCTGGGTTTCCAAAGGTCTGCCGTAATGGCCCTGCAGGAGGCCAGCGAGGCGTACTTGTCAATATACCGTACTGATTGTTTAAATTTTTGGAAAAGCGTTTATAAGCAAGTTCGTCAAAATCCCTATTTCCCTATTAATAACTACTAAATTATGAATAATAATAATAATAAACTTTATTTCTCACCATGATCACAATATTCACAATGTTGGTATTAATGGCTACTTAAAATAAATGATATAAAAACATGCAATTTTTTTACCAAAAAAAGGTAGGTACGTATTGATCAGATTGAACCCGCCATAGGGTTGACACCTGAACTAGGATGAATCCTGTGTCTCAGGTAATTAACCCTGCACCCTATTCATAAAGTTGTGTATCATTTAGTAAACAATTTAATAATCCAGATAACTGTTCTTAAGTTATAAATTCAATGGAATAGCCAAAGGAGTTTATTATGTGTTTGTGTTTGTGAGTAAGTATGTGTGTGTGTGTGTTTTACTTAATAAGTCCTTTTTTCGATTCTAGATTAACTTTATCTGCTGGATAAATTATGAAATGCACGTCACATCGAAAATGAACATGACTAACAATTTAAAACAACTCTTCATTTTATAGAGTCTGTACGATATCAGACGAATAATTTTTATGCAGTGATTGCAAAAATAGATGATAAAAAAATCTGTTAAAATGTCTAATAATAGGTTTACCTATGAAATTGCCATTCTGCCGTACTGGCCAAAGTCAAGTATTTTTCACTAAGGTTTCTAAATTCAAATTATTATTATTTTTAAAAGGTGTTTTTTTTATTAGTTATTTGTTTAATGATCAGCGTTCTGTTTTCAGTCCATTTGTACGTTTTGCGTCATCATGGATACGTTAAAAATTCGAGTGATTATGGAGTATGAGTACCGTCGTGGCAGCAAAGCGGCAGAAGCGGCATGCAACATCAACGACGTATACGGAGCGAACACTACTAACGATTGCACCACCAGTTATTGGTTTGCCCGCTTCCGTTCTGAAAATTTCGATCTAAGAAACGAACCCAGTGGTCGACCTGGAAGCTGATGAATCTCAATCTACAGCTGAATTAGCAGCAGCTTGAAATTCCATAAACATTGGAAATTGTATGGCAGATTGAGCGACTTTAATACATTCGACCTTCTTCGTAGACATCAAAAACTGGTGCAACTTGACTATTATGACTTGAGGTTTACTTGCGCGATTTAGGCTTCCGTACTATTGAATGAATCGCAGTGCAGATAACGAACGCCATCTCTTGAGGATGGTGAGTAATGATTTCCTCCATCCGTTGTATATATGTGGGGCATATAGATGTCGCCGCCACATGACTCCCCTCCGAGACCGTAGGTCGATAGTGTGTTTTCAGCAGTCAGTGCGTCAGTCGAGCTTACAAGTGCCAGGGTGCTGCAGAATGCCCCAGTCTGCAGTGGGTCGAGACGGGTGGGGTGAAGGCGCGTCGCCAGTGCTGCAGAGTTGCTCCAGTCTACGGTGAGTCGAGACAGGTGGAGTGTGATGGTGGGTCCGAGCTGCTGGTGTGCAGGGCTGCCACGCCGGTGTGCTCGCGGCCGTCAAGTGAGGTACCGGTCGTGGGCTGCGGAGACCCGGTCGGGATGATGCCGTTGGGTGCTGCCGAAGGACCAGGAAGCGTCATTGAGAGCTGCGATGGATCCTTGAGGCTGATGCTGGCTTGCTGTGTGACTGCTGATGTTGCTTGACCTGATGAGGAATGATGGTTGGCGCTGCGATGGTTGAAGGTTGCTTGCTGCTGCTGTGCTCAGTCGAGTGTCACCAGTGCCGGAAGTCCAAAGGGGAAGATCTTCCTCCGAGCTGGGTGATAGCTCGGGGGCCGCGGCCCGACTGATGTTGGTCGGGCATCGTATATATGAAGTCTTAGCCTCCGAATTTTACTTGCGCGATTTAGGCTTCCGCACTATTATGAATCGCAATGCAGGTAACGCCATCTCTTGAGGATGGTGAGTAATCATTTCTTCCATCCGTTCTATATATGTGGGCATATAGATGTCGCCGCCACAAATTTATTTATCAACGACATCAACTCAGTGTTTAATCAGTCGTGTTTCATACTTTACGCGGACGACATGAAAATAACAATGGGTAATTTTGGATGA